TGAGTAAAGGATTGAAGTTTGATGCTGAACTTGCAATGTTTCTTTTAAACTGGTAAGTTAACGGCTGTTAATGCTAAAGTTAGCTATGTAGTGATAGCAAAACAGCTAGCATAATTGCTCCTTTAAAGACATTTCTATGACTATCACTTAAAAAAAACATATTAAATTATAATATTAGATCAATATTACTGTTCACAATTATGAGTTTTCACAATTGTTTTTCATAATTACTATAATATTTTTTTCTTTTCAGAAGTTGTTGTGAATTGCCAGCTAAACCTAATGGGTTTCAGTTTAATTGTTGACAATAATGTCTTCTGACAATCTCTTGAGTTAATATAGTGATGGATATCTGATGAAACTCCAGAGACTTGACCACTCATGTCTTCAGTAGTCTGCTGTTATCTGTGTAAAAACACACACAGGCAGGTAGGAATAAGCCTGCCAAAATATCTCACCTGCATCCTTGAATCTTTATTGAAAAGTGGAGCGGCGGAGTGGCAGAGTCAGAGAGCTCTGCAAGGCTTGCCAGGCTCTCCGAGGTGGCTTGCCACAATGGTCGGAAAACGACACACACTCTTTTGGCAAATGGTGAAGTAATGTTAAAATTACCCAACTTTGTATGCAAAAGAGGTGCTTTCTAGTAGAGATGATGGCCAACACTGACCTCATTATGCAGATTGGGCACCATGACATGATTTATCCCCTATAAATTAAATAAAACAGGTATAAACAGTGTCAATGTCTACAAAAATTAGTCTTTCCACTGTAAGTTATATTTATTCAGTCATGGCAAGCCACCAACTCAGTTTCTTGTGCCACAGTAATTCCTGGCTTCATGTTACCTAAAAAAATAATCCCAGTGTGTCGCAGGTAGTGAGAAACAGAGTTTAAATTTGGGGGGAAGAGAGCATCTGTATCGGAGAACACTGGATCAATGAGTGCCTACTTTCTGGATCCATGCAGTACTTCACATCAAAAAAAAAAAAAATGATAAGGGCATGAAAGTTAGATTTTTTTTTTAAGCATGCCTGAAAAAATAGCATATTTATAGCAATTTTATCAGATAAAATGAATCCTGACTATTTCTTAATATATTTCAAGTTATACAATTTTGTTGTCAGATAGTGAGGCATATATGATTAGGAAGTTTTTTTTATTTATTATTATCTATGGGCTTGTCCCCTGGTGTCGTATTGGCATCTCCCACATCTGATGCCACCGATGTGAATCGTCAATACAGTATCTGAGCTCAAGCCGAGGTTTACAGTGAGATATAAAAAGAACAACAGAGGCGGCAGGCTTGTCACAGACCCCTGAGGTGTCACAGCATCTCATCCAACTACATACCCACCTACTGCATCTATACACTTATACCTACCATTTATACTGTACTGTACCTCCATGGAAAATGCAGCAAAAAATAATCAATTTTAATCCAGTGAAGTCAGGTCCTCTTATATCCTCCTTGTATAAGATTCTTATAAGTTAAAGGCCGTGCTCTAAGCTGGTTGAATGGTCACCCCTTGATTCACAAGTGGCTCCTTACTGACATGTATGAAATCCCACCTAGAGTATATATCCAGATTTTAGATTTCCTGTCTCATTTACAAAGTTTGAAATAGTGACTGAAACGTGGCCCATTAAGACTAGATTTTAATTAACAGTGACTTCCAAGCCATTCGCTAATACAGAAGGTCGCTAAGGTTTGTCCAAAAAGTTGTTAGATGTTGTTAGCTTTTTTGAAAAAACAAAAAAGGCTGTTAATGTAGCAACAACAGAGCTAGCACTGACTGTAAACACCCCCCTGTTGAAATAATAGAAACTGTTTGTGCAAAGTCATGTTGAAAGAGCAACAGCCAATGGGTAAACTCAGCCAACTGACCAATGGTGAAACTTTATCACTCAGTCAGTCAGTCAGAGACATATGTGTTTCTAAAGCTGGCTTTCACTGTTGCGGTCCAGCCAAAAGGTTATTAACTCTCACTCTCCTTGTAAAAAGAAACAAGTGGCATCATTTCAATGACCCTGATTTCAGACATTACATCTCATTTCACACATATCTTCGATAGATTTTTTCTTAATGTGTATTTTATTAGCTGGTGGAGAGCCCTACATCTGCAATATAAGATAACGTAATTCAATTCCTCTTCAATAAAACGACTGTAATGACGGTTCTAATGTTCAGTTTTCATTGGACCTTGTCAGATAGCTCAAGGGTAATAAGACAATGCATTAATTGTATTATATTGTATTATATCGTAATGTATCCCTGTTATGATGTCCACTGGATTTACCTAACACACACAGGTCTATGAGTAACACAAATTTAATGCACATCAGTGATTTAGCACCATTTGTACTGTGGTACATTGTAAATGAGGCAAAACACTTCTCTGCATTGCTTTTAATGATTAATGTAAAATTGCTGATGAACAGACAGTAGTTGCACATTTACCCAACTCATTATTTCTCCACTTGCTACACTGTGATAGAAATTAGATTTGTCATTGTAATACAGTGTAACCCATCCCTGAGTTTTTCTGCTTCAGGCAATGCATGTAGTTTTATTCTGCATTTCCTGAGGTGACATATTATCCACTAAATGTTGAGATATATTTAATTTAAATAGCATAATGGTTAAATCTCGGTACGTGTCAAGTCAAATTTTGCCACCACTCTATAAATATGCATCCCATCTGAATACGTGTCAGGAGAGAACAAAGGGTTGAGGGTTAATTTTCAATTCAGTGAATTTCCCACATTATATTACTCCATCAAACTTGTTTAGAGCTGCCTGCAGGAAAATTGTTTTTATTTATAGTTGTTTTTTTTTAAACAAATGGAAGAGTATTTCAAAGTAATTTGATACCATAAAACTTAATGCCCTGTAGCAGTTTGTGTTTGAATTGATGTACAGTGTTTGTAGTTATAAATTTTACTGTACAACACTGAAATTAGTTCTTAGATAACTTAGTAATTAATGTGACCTTTTCCCACATCATAACAACACAAGCAGTTAACTAAAAATAGCCTGCGTTTCATTTGGAGTGACAATATAAAAGTAAAGCAGTGTGACTGGAGCTGCAGCAGCCTATGAATCTTCCTCTAGATGTAATTTGTTGCTTGTGTCAGTCGGGCCAACCCGTCGGTCAGAGAGTCAGCTCTTGGTTCATTATCTAAAGGCTGTGTCTCTTGGTGACATTAGAGACGCCTTTGAGGTGGAATCTTTTCAAATACCACAAATAATACACGGAGACTATGTAAAATGTGACCCTGGTTAGAACAACAAGGATCATCTCTGTCGTCACTTTTCCGAAGGAGTCCAGAGAAGGTGATAGAGTACAAACCTCCATCTTGTCAAGGTCAATTCCCGACTTCACAGATAGTAGATAAGGCTGCAGTCGGTAGGAGAAGGTAAACTTTGCACAATCAGAGGAAGAACAACAATAATAGACTATAGGACCTCTCTAGATAGATAGATATATAATCCTTTAAAGTGTATAAAAGCAAAATAACAATAGGTATGATAAAGCCATAAGATAATGGTGGATTTTATACGATTAAAGTAAAAATTTGCACTGTTTTTCTACTGTGGAAGGTTGGAACTGGCTGCCTCCGCAATTGAGTAAATTGATGTTAGCAGCTGTGGAGGATGTGATACAGCATCGATGGCAAGATAAGAGCTGATTAGACATTGAAGGTGTGAAATAGTGAAATGCGAAAAAAAAATATAAAGAAAGGGGTTGATCAATGCAGCCCACCAGTGTGGTTGGTCGGTTTGTCTTGAAAGCTGTGCAGCCAAATGATGAAAAAAGTGAAATTAAAGGCGCGTGATGAAAGAGTTCTCGAGCCATCAAAAGGAGAAAAGAAAAAAAAAATGCTTGTGACAACGTGACTCCTGATTTATTGATTTCCTCGCTCAATTTTTTCACCCAGGGTGCTTCGAAAGAGCAAAGCAATCTCTGAGTTTGTTGGCTGTTGTTACATTCCCTTGGCAAATGGACACTCTCCACAAACACACACACACACACACTCTGGAGTGCAACCCCATGCACAAACATATGGAGCTCCCAGTGGGGCGGAGTTTTTAATCCTCAAATACACTGCCATAAATCAAACCCCACTCCCTCATGCCCCCAGCTCGTCTCTCTCAATGAAAAGCTCAAGCCAGTGGCACATTAATAGCAATTTACAGGGTCAGTCATGCGAGGAGAGGAGCATCAACAGAGCGTCCTTTATTTTGTAATTCCTTATTACTTTCACTCACTACACGGCCACTGAATCGGTAGAGGATGTGACCTACCTACTTCATCACTCCCTCCATGTGGATGTCAGTCATGTTGTACTTTTCCCACAAACCCCTAATCTTGCAATGAGAATCAGCCCCTTCGCTAACTTTGGTAAATATAGTAATGCTGACAGGTGTTTCTATTATTCTGTACACCCCATTTACGTCAGCGAGGGAAGGAAAAATAATAGGAACACCTCTCTGTATAGTGCAATACATTTGGTAAATGGACTGCACTTATATAGCACTTTTCAAGTCTTAGAGATCAATCCAAGCACTTTACAATACATACCACATTCGCCCACGCACACGCATTCATACATCACACCCATACACACACACACATAACACATTACACCCATTTACACACAGCCATGAGGGGCAATCTGGGGTTCAGTATCTTGTCCAAAGATAGTTCAACACGTGGACTGGAGGAGCAAGGAGTGGGAGACCTTCTGATGCACAGCCCCCTCCCCCACAATACAATCCAGAAATTCAAACAGCACCACAAAATAACATCCTCCAAAATGCTCTCTGAATCAGTTTCCACACAAATGTTCCTGGATGTGGGATTTATTGCAGCGCTGTTGCATAAACTGGTTGAGGCACTGATCTCATTATTTCACACTCTCATCTTCAAACGTTCTTGTGCCTACACGCGAACCCTCGGCCTGTTGAGTCACTCATGCATGCACTCTGCTGGTTTCAGGTGGAATGGCTGAAAAACGAGGAGCCTCTAAGCTCTGACGGCATCATCGATACGAGAGGCGACCACAATCTCATCATCTCAGAAGCTCGCCTGTCTGATTCGGGGAACTACACCTGCGTCGCCAGCAACATTGTGGCCAAAAGACGCAGCGCAACAGCCACTGTTGTAGTCTACGGTAAGACTATCAAACTCCTAAAAAAAAAAAAAAAAAAAAAATGTATTCAGATTGTTTCAAAGAAAAATGCATCTAAGGTTAGATCCTGTGTGTAACAGAAAAGTGCTTCAGGTTTGCACTACAAATGATCAAAACAATGTCAAACAGCTTTCTTGCCTGCATCAAAATATCAGCTTTCACTACAGAAGCAGCCCGTCAAACAGGCACCTCAAGCAAATTCCCCAAAGTCATTAATATAAAAAGCACCGCTCAACCACAGCGTGTGGCCTTTTTTCACTCAAGAGTCTAATGAGCAGGTAATGGGCAAGTGATCCCTCATGTGTGAAAACAAGGAGACACAGGCACAATATTTACAATAACTCAATTATTAATGATGGAAAGGCAGTGACGTGGGCTGTCACAACTCCCTGCCTTTTATCTGCCAGCGCTAAACACCTTGTGTAAAACGCTTTGTATTGCTGCAGGCCAGCACACACTGTTTCCAGCATTTTTATAGCCCTGTAGCGAGCTCTGCTGAGACAAAGGAAAATAAGTGAAATTATACAATCACTCCAGCACTACCTCCTTTCACACTACAGGAACACCTTGTTAATTGGAGGGTTTCTGTGCTCGTTTTACCGACCTCTCATCCTGTTATTTATTTATTTATTTTTATTTTTTATTTTTTTCAGGAAGGGCATTTAGCTTCTGTATGAATACATCTGATTCAATCTGACACCCCATAGCTGAGGCCCATCAATCATTCATTTCCATAATGTTAATGAAGTCTCTGACAGGCTCGCTATTCCCAGTAGCCTCAGACAGACGTACAGTCATGCAATGCAAGTATTTCTTCCTTTCTTATGACAGCAAATGAGCTGATTAGTCAATCATGCCACATTATTTAAGGCAACAAATCACAGGAAGAAGTAGATGGAGGGAAACACATAATTGATCATTTTCAAGACACCTCTGTGTTTTGTTTTTTTTATCCCTGATAAGACGTTCATTATCACCTGTGATTCATCTCCTGTGACACGAACACTCAGAGACAGAAAATACGTTATTATCCACAGAACGTAGACCACTATCTACACTTTTCATCCCTCTCCCTTCACACAGTGAACGGAGGGTGGTCATCGTGGACGGACTGGTCGCCCTGTAACGTGCGCTGCGGTCGCGGCGTGCAGAAACGCTCTCGCACTTGCACAAACCCAGCTCCTCTCAACGGGGGAGCCTTTTGTGAGGGCATGTCGGTGCAGAAAAGCACCTGCAACACGCTGTGTCCAGGTAAGCACAAGGACACAAGTTCGTCATGCTGTCAGTGTTTGTGCATAAGCTTTAAAGCGTGAATGTCCTCCAACTTCACAGGTTCCAGTTAATAGTGTTTCATGAAAAGCAGCTGACAGTTGAAAGGTTTACATGCTGGTAAAATTGACTTCAGTGGTACATTCAAGGAAGCTCTGTGTAATCATACATGTATGTGCATACACAGTATAACTGTGTATATTCCTTGTAAATGCAATATCCTGTAGTTTCTTTTTCACTTCTTCCTTCAGCACTTATTTGATTCAGTGCTACTTCTACTCTTATTTTATGTGGCTGTTTTACTGCTTTATTCTATACAAATTTAAAATATTTGACTTGTTTATACATGTTCACTTTATTAAGCGTGGAGAGGGCTACAACTGCATTTAACTGTACGATCCCATGTGGTATCATGACAGTAAAGCTGAACCTTGTGCAGAAACCGTTATATGTGGTTTTATGTGCTGGAACTATTTCTTGGTTGGATGCTGTGACTTCCTGCTGCACACAAACTCCCCCAAATTGTAATTTTTACACTTCCAGCTTTGTGCAGATTCAACAAACGAGCTGTAATGTGTTAATTAACGATATTTAGATGTGAGGATAGGTGGAATTTTCTACCTTTGGAGAGATCCAGGCTAGCTGTTTCCTCCTGCTTCCTGTCTTTATGCTAAGCTAAGCTAGGTGCCTGCTGGCTCCCGCTTCAATCCTCTCAGTTAACTCTTGTCAAGAAAGCAAGTGTTTTCCCCAAAATGTTGAATTATCCCTGCTGTTGGCAGCCAACCCTGGGGATTTGAATGACAGCTCGTCCTTGAATGCATCAGCATGAAAAGGGTTCTCTCTACTCACGTGTGCATTATCACACAATAATAATGTAAATTTAACAAAAAGGAAAGGCAACAAAATGGTCTCTGTGATTCTCTCTGTTTCTAAAATACCTGAAATTAATAGAAAGTAGAGACTGCCTGGAAGGCAGGAAACAAGCCTGAAAGCCTCAGGGTACGCTTTGTAGTTAGCTTTAGTCTCCTTTGAACCAGTTACATTTCACCATGAATGCATGACTTTTCCACCACTGATAGTGACAGAGGTTCGTATCAGAAATCTAAAGCAGGAGACCGTGGAAAAACAGCAAATGAAGAGAAAATGTATGGGAAATTGAGAGAGGGGTGAAAGAAAAACCCGTGAGAGAGGGAAACAAACGGGAGAAGCTTAGGTTGGGGAGAGGAAGAGCTGAGCAGCAGTTCCAGTTATCAAAACCGCCGTGTAATCTGCTCTGCCCAAGTGTTTTTTCTAGACAAGCCAAAATTTATGATTTCAACCACAGCACCAGTATAAAGGAGAATGCTCATCAGGTTTAAGGAAAAAAAAAAGTTATCAGGGGCAGGCAGTGCACTCCTCCAAACATTATCTCCTCTTTGCCAACAGCCTACTTCTGAAGGATTCTTTCTCTGCATCTGAGTTTTGAACATAAACAGAGTGCATTTGCGTTTAGATTAGCAGGAAGAAGGGAACTTTAGAGCATTTGGAGGTGGAAAGGAGACTTGATGGAGTGTGGCATAAACAGAGTGTCTTTATGCTCCGAGTCAGCAAGGCGGCACAATATTTTGGCTCCCTGAGGAAGAAAATGTTTTTGTGAAGTTAGTGCTGCAGCCGTTAACTTGAGAGAGTCAGAGAACTATTAAATGAATCAGCTTAGTCTTTTTATTTTAATATTTTTTAGAGAAGTGAGTCAGTGAAAGTGAAAATTTAGTTGATTTTCTTTATTATTTTGTATCTGTGTGTGTGTGTGTGTGTGTGTGTGTGTGTGTTCACAGTGTCCACGCATGTCCACAGTAAATGAGAGGATGACTGTACTCAAATCTTAAAGACCCCCTCCGATGAAAGTCAAGTTTTTAACCTTGTAAACATGTTCATACACATACATACATACATAATACAAGACATATCATGAGTGCCATGAGCGCTCAGCACCACCACTGAGTATTTCCACCTTGAACTGCAGTGAACCAATGACCGTCTCCTAAGAACAGATTCACACAGCCAGGGTTTCATACGTCACAGTTTGCATTAGCACAACCGCTAACACGGTGTCAGCCGCTGCCAGTTACAAGCTAACAAACAACAAAAACAAATAACTACGCTTACCGCTCTGACACGTCTTCCAGTCACCGATTTTGATCACAACAAACTCCTTAAAAAACTCCTGAGTCTGGGTCTGACTGAGGCTCAAACACGTGGCTGAGTCTCTCTGATGTTTCCTCCGATAACCATCTTGATACGCACCGCTCTCCCACCGGTCAACCGAGCGCAGGCAGCGGTGGTGGACGGGGCATTCAATGAGGAAGTAACTTTTTATGTGTGAAAACCATGTTAAAGAGAATATTCATCATAGCAGAGAGGAAGGCTAAACATTTGTTTTTGTGTCTGATCCCTCAGTTGATGGCGGCTGGGGGGAGTGGAGCGAGTGGTCGTTGTGCAGTTCTGACTGCGAGAGGCAGCGCAGCAGAGAGTGCACGGCTCCAGAGCCCAAACATGGAGGGCGGCTGTGTGACGGCGTGGCACTGGCAACCGACAACTGCACCGGCGGCCTCTGCACACAGAGTGAGTCACGTCACCACCACCTCTCTCCACTGGTTCACTATGAGAAAAAAAAAAAAAGACAGTTTAGCATCATTACCGTCAGTCCCACTGTGATCAGGGACTGTGCCATTATAGATTTACTGTTCATAATTTTTGGCAGTGTGGGCTAGATCATGATCGTCATTATAATCATGCTCATTACCAGCACCCTCATTCATCTTCATTATTCATCCACTCCACTCCACGTACATCACACAGAGTGTGCGCGCAGGCATGGATGCATACACAAGTAGTAATTAAATAAACAAACACTTGTAGTGTTCAGAAAGGTCATGGAGAAACTGTCGAAGTCTGATGTTTCTCTGTCTTTGCAGATCGAAAGTTGCTACATGATGCTAAGCCACAGGGTGAGTTTCTCCTCAGCTTCCATTTCTTACTGTCACGTTATTTTAAGGATATCACAGTCTGCAACCAATGAAGAAGAAGAAGAAGAAGAAGAAGAAGAAGAAGAATTCTTGATTCTGTTTATACAATGACCAAAGACGAGCTGGAGGCTGTCCCTTATTTGCAGATAGCTTCACTTCTATTGAGTGTCACCATCACCATAATAAATTATTTATTCTCGGGCTGCTCGTTTCATTTGACGCCAGCCTACACCTTCTACTAGTAGAGCAGTAACATGAAGTCCGTGTTTGACGAGGATAGTGCCAACACACCAGACCCTTAGCAGCAGACTGTCAGCTGATTCAGCACGGCGAACTGGCAGCACGTGAGAGAAACATCTGACGGGAAGTTCAGCCGAGGAAATGAGTGATTTTTCTCTTTGAATAAAACGATACTTAGATTTTAATGGTTTGCGAGTAGCCTTGATGTGAGAGGAACCAATCACTCTGACAGGTGTGGTTCTGGGAAGAAAAAAAACAAAAAAACATTGACTCATTATGAATGCGCCCATACTCAAAATAGACAGTTATTTCAGATACTGGTGTCCTGACAGGCAGATAGCATACATCATGTATGAATAATGAGCAGCAAATACCAGTAATATGTCAGCTCATTGCTAGAATGCATTTTAACAGAAATGAATATTTCTGTTAAAAGCATCCAATTTCCAGGCTGCGTGTGATTTCTGTGTCATGGAGGAGACGTCTCTGACTGGTGAGCGTGGTCTAACTGCCGCTCAAACATTTAGGCAGAAGATTGTGATGGTTACTGTTCGTTATCTCCACCTTTGGCATCCATTCCCACTCGGTTGTAATGACATACTGTACATTGGATCATGTCACTTTCACTCCATTAAGTGGTGTTAATGGTTTTTAACAGTAATTGAAGTAAAATTCAACTATTTACTCCTGCACTGTTAAACTGTATTGTGTTGGTACTCGGGCCGTCACAATATCAGATTATTGTGGCCAAAAGAATTTATGATAACATTATTATCACGATATCTTTAGAACATTTGGAAGAAATGTGTGTTTATTGTGTGTTTTGTCTCTTTTTTGGCAAATGAATTAGACTCGTATACGAGTGTAGGGAGGTGGAGAGAGAGTCTGTAACTACAACTGCACAAAAGCAAACAAAAAGAATAATTACACTTAATGTTTAGTGAAAAGGCAACTACATAAACAAAAGATCCACAAGGCTTAACATCTGCCATCACCATATTATCATATGTGCATTACTAACACAATATCAATATCTCATTTTTAAAATATCGCGATTATCGTCGAAACCGATATATCGCGATAAGGATGATGATGTTATGATGATCACTTCTATCAACTATATCAACTGTCCCCAACTTATTATTACCTCAGTTTTACTTTAAAGTGATAGTTTGGGTTATTTGACATGGGGTTGTGTGAGGTACGGATCTATAGTCTGTGAATTACCTGCAGTAGATTCAGATCAGTGTACTCTGTTTGGAGAAGCAGACAAGCGGAACAAGCGCAACTACTACTTAGCTTTGTGTGAACTGCGGAGTAATACAGTGTGCACCGTAGTTGCGCGCGCTTGTGTGTAGTAATACGCTAGTTCAACGGTTGAGAAAATGTAGTGCCAAAGGAAAGTGTGAGGTGAAAATATTAAAAAATAAAGTGAACACTTAAACTGAACACCTAAACTCCTGCTGCTTCTATAAACTGGGAGCGAGCTGATCTAAATCCACTGCAGATAATACACTGACTATAGATCAGTATCCCACACAACCCCACGTCAAGTTACCTGAACTATCTCTTTAAATTCCCACTGATGCTATTACTTGTGATGAATCTGATGTAGCACTTCAAGCCAAACAGCCTGTGGTTTACCGCTGCATATTCATCGCTTTATGCATAATTGCTGTGTAGGGTAATGGGCCGTTTATGTGTTGATTAGTGCTGTGTAGTTTGTGCAGTGAAAAATCAATTTGATACCTACTAAGCTGCTGGCACATGTTCTCCTTACTCGTCCTTTAACACAGTCGTGTGTTTTTGTTTGTCAGAAACGAGAAAAAGAATCCAGCCAGGCTGCCAAAACTTCCCAAGCCCTCAATTAACCCGCTACTGTAGCTGTTAATGCCGCTTTGCATATTTTGTCAGTTTCTCCTCATTTGAGCTTCAGGTTACTTAGAGGATTTCTCAGCATGTCCTGTTTCAGCACAGATCTCATTATCTTTCGAGAACAAGCTAGCAGTCCCTTTATTTCCCACTCATTCTTTTTCTTTGTGGAGTTGGACGCTGCAGTACTGGTGGGACCAGATAGAGCATAATCATCGCCGATGAGCTAATTTAATGAATTGGTTTTGTCACATTATCCCAGTGGAAAGCAGAGTGCCTCCAACACCAGAGCCAAGCAGTGTTTGAAATGACAGTCAGGTGCTGGGTTGATTATAATCGCTTTCCTTCCGAGGTTCCTCATTAGTAGCTTCAACACTCTAGGATAGAACAATGAAGCTGTGTATCAGGAGGCATGGCAGATATGGAATAGAAAACAAAAAAGGCGCTAAAGTAGTTTGAAACCAAGGTAGACTTGCTTCCTCGACTTTCACAGCTTTAACTCAGCTGATATTCCTCAGCAACACAGGTTTTATTTTGGGAGGAAATGCTTCCTAATTAAGCTCAGTAGACAGTAAAAAAGTCACTAAAAAAATGCGTTTCTCTCTCTTACTCACTCGAACTTTCCAAGGTGTGGAGAACAGCAGTGATGTGGCCTTGTACTCGGGCCTTGCTGCGGGGGTGGTGACAGTCGTGCTGCTGATCATCGCCGTTACTCTTTATCGAAGGAGCCAGAGCGAGTACGGTGTCGATGTCATCGACTCCTCCGCCCTCACCGGGGGCTTCCAGTCCTTCAGCTTTAAGACCTCTCGTCAAGGTGAGCCAGTGACTGTGTGACTCATCCCACTGTGAACATGGGCTTCCCACCACATACTTGTTTTTTTAATTTAATCTTTATCTAATTAGTCAGTCTCTTGAAATCTCTTTTTCAAGAGAGACCTGGGAACAGGAAGCAAACACAAGACACAATCAACAACAAAGATAACACAACTACACAATACAAGACACTAAGACACAAAGAATTAACAAAAAACTTTGTAATAGTCATAAAATACATCAAATATTAAAGTTTTGAAATCTCCAAGCTTGCAGATCATTCCATTTCAAGGATGCATAATACCTGAAACCAATTCTGCAAATATTAGTGCGAACTAAGGTTAAGTAGCTACTGGATCGTGTTTTGTGGAAGAGCTGTGAGGTCGTTTGGAGGTCATTTTTTAAATGAATAACATGAGCCGACTATTTTTTCTTGACTTTAGGTCGGTCCAAACCCACGGTGCGATACAGAGAACAATAATGAGTGCGGTGTTTGTCATTTGTGATAAAGCGAACAGTGCACGAGGAAACACAGGGTTTAAGTGCTGGAGTGTTGCAGTGACAACACAGAATATCTCCGTAGTCAATAACAGACATGAAGGTTAACTGCACAGTAGTTTTACAGCTGGAAGAAGACGGATGTCCTTAAAGTCTGTACAAGGAACCTTCGTTTTGTACTGTCTCCAAAATGGAAAAGAAACGTAAAAAGAGGGGACGAAGGAGGTTGTTAATGTTATGTTTTTTTTTTAGATAATGATATGATAATTAATGGTTCCAAAGTCAGATACCCATCATTTATTATAATATATATGATAATCAGGTAGAGTTTATGACACATCCTGAGGTAAATCTTTAATATTTCACTGTATACACTCAGAATAGCTCAACAGTGTGGTGTTCTGTGCTTAATTTGCTATAGTCTGGTGTCGTGTTTGATAATAATTAATTGATTCAAAAATGCATGCTGTTTAATTCTTGCATAATTACACTGACCACACCCCATAAATTAGAGAGTGGTGTTGAAATACATCTGTCATCCCTGCTGCTATAAGACAGCTACAGGTATTTCTCCTGTAACGTCTCCTGTGCGCAGACGCTGCAAACACATTTAAATTTGTGTTCTGATGTGCATCTAAATTTATACTAGATTTAAGAGTAAAAAACTGGTTTAAGTCTCCTCTTGAAATCCAAGAAGTGAAACTCAACACACATTAAAAGGGTTTATGTGATTTTTGAAGTGTTCTGTTTTTGCTTCTTCGCCATCTAAAGACACTTGACTTTGCAATAAGAGGTTGTTAAAGAGCAAATTCAAAACAAGTACCAAAGCTGCTGCACCTTTGCACAAATGGGCTCATATGGATTCGAAAAATGACCAAATAGGCACAAAGAAACCCCCCAAAAAAACCTTCCTGCGTCCAATAAAAATGGCATCACGGTTTTATTTGCTGTGAAAATACAAGTGTCTTTGCTGAAATTACAAATGTACTTATTCATTTTTGTAATCTGCATGTTATTAGTGTATCATATGGTTGTCATGATCAAAAATAAGAAGATTTGATTGTTTTCATTTCCCAAAATAAGCTAAATGAAACGTAAATCAGTAACTGCAATTGCAATTATACTTTTTGAATTAATTTGATGCTTGAGTTTCAAAAAGAAAAAACCCAGGAAATCAAATGAAGTCTGTAGTTTTGCCTGGTGGCAGTGAGATGGCATTACTATATAAAGGAAGTGTCGCTCTCCTCCAAAACGTAAGAGCGAGGCACAGATGAGGAGAGGAGACCAGACACAGGTGTCATTCTGTAGGTGAAGAAAATGGTAAGCACCAGCTGCACAGAGAAGACTGAATGGAGCAGGACAACACAACATACAGGACGTGCTTCTGGCTCTGCTGCACTTTATTTTTATTCAAATAATGTAACTGCATGTAATTTAAACTACATAACATGCAAGCAAAACCATGCAGTTTTGTATTTAAATGTCTTTATGAATTATGCATACATTTATTTGTATTGTGATATAGCTACATCAATTATTTAAATGCTTTAGGGGCCAGAGTGACTGGATTTTTCAGTTTGTTTACTTGAGCCTTCTGGAGATGCTGTAGTGCACTAAAAGTCCAATAACATACAGTATGAAGCTTAATCTAAAAAGCACATCGTGTATTTATTGCTTTATTGCAAACATCAGTTTGCCCTAAGCAATAAACGCTCACTTAGAACATATGGTAACAACCGCTGTTTGTGTTCCAAACAAATTCACAGTTTAACTCTCATCTGTTATTACTGAAACCTTCTTTACTGGCGCCGTAACTTAAGGGCAGTGTATTCGTTTGTGGCATCATAGGCTGTGTCGGTGTTATCCTACATACGACAAATCCTCAATGAATTATTCATGATTCCAAAATTAAAAATGTAATTTATTAGTGTTTTCACTTTTTTTTTTTTTTTTTCGCTCAGGCCCCCAAATGGAGCATTTGTGGTCCCGTGTGTCCAAAACACTGGAGCACCAGAGCTCAGAGGCGGGGTGTGTTTTGTGCCACAGATTGAGGCATATTTTTACAAGGCTGGCATTATGGGTCGCCACAGCAACAGCTCTCAGTGGGGCATAATAAAGTTCATTTTGATAACACAGCAGGGGGCAGGAAAAGCTTTAATCTTGATCTGTGCTCCCCTTGATAGAGGGGCTAAAACAGCCAAAACTCCTGGCTGCAGCTGCAGCAGCATCCACACCCCTGCCTGCAACCACTGAATATAACTGTAAAGAAAACTGTTGATATTCACACACTAAACAATTCGTACTGTAATTCAATGTAAATATTTCTGGCATTCAAGCATTATCATTAAACAACCAGCCACTGTTATTTTCCATTTTGTTCCTTAATTTTAATTGAGACATTGATGCAGTAAGGTTTCTGCCATTTTTGTTTCCATGGTAATAATGATATCATAGCAATAGTCACAGTAAAAAAAAATAATTGCCATGACATACTCTTCAGGTTTTTATTTGCTGTTGTTTACAGTGATTTAAAGTGTTTCTCTCCAGAAATGTAATTGTTACTTAAAGATGTCTAATGACAATAATTGACAATGTGACAGTAATTTGCTTTTTGTCTTTGTGCGTCTTGCAGCGAACCCCCTGCTGATCAATTCCTCCATGCAACCTGATCTGACAGTGTCACGGACGTACACCAGCCCCATGTGTTTCCAGGACTCCATTGACAAGGAGCTGATGGCCGAGCGCTCGCTCCTCGACCCGCTCCCTGATCTCAAGGTCAAAGGTCAGGAAATAAAACTGTTACGAGAGCCCGTGTCTGTGCTAGTTGACTACTTTTGGAAGGGCTAGAGAATTACAGAGTGTGCAGCTCTGCAGTAGCAGTCAGAAAGATAATCCATCCTGCTTTGAACCTGTTTTTCTTCCAAAGCAATCTCTAAGAAAAAGCTTTCATACAAAGAAAGAAATGGTCATGACCTTGGAGGGCATGACGAATTTGCTATACGATAAGCCACATCCCCCTTAGCTACTGTTGCTACACCTGTCAAAAAGTTAGTATCTTCGATGATCCATGTAGAAAAAATGTACGATGTAGAGTCCTTCGTATTTTCAAGCTGTATGTTTCCTCCTTTCTGTTACATGGTGGCTTTACTGATGCCATATTCCTCTGTGTGTGTGTGTGTGTGTGATCTGAGTTTGTTTCACTGCAACAAAGTCACAGCTGCTTCCTTGTATCTGCAGGGGTGGCAGAAAGGGCAGAGTACCATGTCATGTCCCACCCTCAGACATTTCCGAGGGGCCTGGCTCCAGACTACAGAGGAGTTGCGGTGGGAACGACGCTGGGCAGGAGAAGCAAAAACCTCTTCACTCCTCAAGTCTCTCTGACTCCCAGCAGGCCTCTCCACAAAGCAACGGCAGTCTTTGGTCATGCTGGAGGACGGCTGGTTGTTCCCAACACAGGTCAGCCCAGTGCAGGGCAGTTTGTGCATTCAATATGTTCCCGTGTGAAAGCTGAAATTCCTGCAATAAAGAAGTAAAAAAAAAAATAAAAAAAATAAAAAATCACACAGAAGCTACCATCTGTAACTTAACTACAGCAGAGATGATACAGAGAATCCAGCGCTGCATTTTGAAGTTGTTTGACCTTGTCAGTGTTGGTCTGCAGTGAAAATGTGAAAATGCCATCGATCGACCAAGCAACATTAAGATGAATATATTATTTACTGAAGTGATGAAGTTAGACAGCGTTGGCATTTTTAACCAACCGGTGGGTCCTGACAAACACAATCTACATTTCTCAGAGCAAGAGAAGTGTTTCTATAACCGCAGTAAATGCATCATTTGGAGTGTTTCACAAGATAAATCGATTTAAAATGTGGAAATTGTTGATTTCAGCTTTAACATTTCGGTACTGTACAACTGTAAAGAAAATGTTAACAGGTCTATGTAAAGTAAAGCTACGACGCTCAGTCAACCAGATTATTTCTGCAGCGCTGTCTCGTGGCCGACATTCATCATCCTGTCCACTGAGGGGCTTTATCTTCTGCGGCGTAGATTGGCAGTAATTGTTTATCATATAGTAGAATATGGTGTTTGTGTCTAAGAAAGAGACAGTCTCTGTGTGTGTGTGTGTGTGTGTGTGTGGGTGTGTGTGTGTGTGTGTGTGTGTGTGTGTGTGTGTGTGTGTGTGTGTGTGTGTGTGTGTTTGTGTGTGTATGACAGAAACTGCTTGCAGCATCGATTCACGAGGCACTTTGGGACTTGCTTCCGTCACCTTTTTCTGGGGCCATCACCTCCCTGGCTGTCACCTCCAGTAAAGGGACCTGACAGCCGAGCAGGTGTGCGTGTCATGTGTGTGCATGTCTAGCTGTGTGTTGATCAGTTCTTGCATACCTCCCTCTCTGCAGGTATCAGTCTGTTGGTGCCTCATGGGGGGATCGCAGAAGACACTACCTGGGAAATGTACATGATCATCAACCAGGAAGACAGCAGGTGAGGGACCCTCACTGAGGTGGTGCAGTCTGCTTCTTGGGCTGCTCTCTTTTAATCTTTAAACCCGTCGCGCCGCATCTCCCCGCCCTCTTCCTGCCACGTCGTCTCCTCCTCTTTCTCTGCCGAACATGCACAGATACACACATATGGAGAATACGCAGGTACATGCGCTGTACATGCACAGTTTACATGCACACACGTACAGATGCAGACATATTCCCAGCCCTGCATGGGGTCCTTGCTCATATTTCTGAGACTACAGGGGAGGACACGATGTGTCACAAATACACATCACGCAGCTGCAGACAGATACCATTACTGCCTTAAGCAACTGTCTCAGCAGAGGAGGATGCACTCCATGACTCTGGTGGCCTATTTTGTGTTTGTAGATACAGCTGACAATATCTCCCTTCATCGTGACTGGTTAGAGTGGTGAACTTTGTAAAGTCACGACGATAGGTGATATCGATTTGGTTTTTGGTTTGATGGGAACGAGATATGCTACAAAGTTTGGGTGATTATTGCCTGCCAGCGGGAGTCTATTTCTGTAACTTTGCCGTCGAGATTTTCACAAAGCAATTACTCAAGGAGAAAATGGAGTGACAGATAAGATCCGTTTGAAAAGGAGTCTAATACCTTTGACTTCTTTGCAACAGAGACTCAAAAGCTATGACAACCAGAAATCAGTTTTTGGACATGTTCTTGACTTATAGCAGACAGTATCACCATGTCAGTATGTCTGCTAGAGAGATATCACTCTAACAACACGGCTAACTGCCTGAGCTTCTCAGTGAAACTCAATTTTTACGTCCGAGGGAGAATCAAGTGACATTTAGTGCCATCTGAAATTCAGCTATCATTTCACCTCACCTCTGCCCACCCATTAAGTTGCCACAGTCGTCTGGGTAGAGATACAGATCAAAGGTCACATATAGGCTGCGGCTCAGAGCTCAGTTAGCCAGCTTGTTGTACACTCCCCTGCCCAAAGTCTCCCCCATTTCAGCCAAGCTGCTGCCCTCCAGGCTCCTGCTTTGCTCTGATAAGCCTGATGCTGTTTACTTCTCCGGCTGTCGGTTAAGAAGCTGCAGGAGCTGTGCACCGCTGAGCTGTCAGTCATAGCCTATCTTCTGACAGCCGCAGAGTCCAGGGGAGAAATTGGATCCTTTCTTCCCATTCAAACCCGTGCCATCTACATAAGACGATGCTTTCCTCTGCGAAGAATAGGAATCGATCAGCTCTGGCTCGGTTTCAGGTGTTCACAAGAGCTTTCGTCCATCCTCTGGGCTTTTACAAGGATGTTTTGTGTGTGATCTTTTTCCAGCTCAGCAGGGGTCAGTGGGTAGTGCAAGGACAGAGACCCAGTGTGTGACAAAATATACCTAATATGTGACTCACACAATTCAGATTGAATGAGCTCAGCAGTTTAATCCTTATTTTCTCAGCATCCTTTTGCAGGGAGGCAACTACTACTCTGTGGTGTCAGTCACACCTGCCTAAGACTGAGCTTCCTTTTAAAGTTTTGGTTGGTGGTTGTTTTTGGTGTCATTTTTATTTGGTCTCCTCCATTAGTATCAAATGAGTTGACCTTGCTGTTTGGCCGCTAGGGGGTAGTGTAACAAGCTGTTAACACAACATTGACATTTTACTACCTTGTAAAGTTGTCATAGCTAATGTGCAGACAGTCGCCCCAGCGGCCTCCTAATGAATGTGTAGTTAGTCCAGTATTCACACCGTTGAGCTCTGTGTTGGTTCCCACCATTTTGTAGGGGAAATACTTCGTTCTGTACCAGCCAAGTTCTCCATTATGTCCCCCAGTAAGTCACTAAAGCCACTTTTTCACTCATCAAAAGACCCGCTAACATCCGCTAAGACCCGCTAACATCGGGCTTTTGTCTGCAATGGAAAAGGGTCGATGTTTCAGAATCGATGTAAAACACAAAACCCTTTTCAGAGCACAAACACTGTGACACACCTGCGGCGCACGCTGCCGCTAAATCAGAAACACTTGGTGATGAAAGAGTGAGCTGCAGCCCCAAAATAAGTTTTAAAAACACACAATCACCAATCAAAGCGTCTCAAATGGAGGCTCCAACACATTACGGCAGCACTATGGATCCATCTTGCCTTTCTACATTGCAGCTAGCAGCTCAATCTTTCTCCCCTGCGTCTGTGTGTGTGTGTATATGTGCTCTGTAACTGCTTGTGGTGACACTGTGTGTGTCCTGTCCGGCAAACTCGACTGGCAGCGTAAAAGGAGTCAATCTGCTCATTTTGGTGTCAAAAGGGTACGACTCTGTCTGTCTCCTGTTTGCTGCTGTGCAGATAACATACAGTGGGATTTTAGAGCTTGTCCACTAAAACAGCTACCTGCTGTAAAAAACAATGCTGATGAAAGCGGTGAGAGCGAACCAAAACAGTACATTTGTTGGAAATAAAATCAAAACAGTTCATTAAAAGATGTTAAAAACCTGTGGGTAACTGTAGAGTCTGCTGATAATTCTCTGTGGGTTTGTCCCCAAAGAAAATATTGATTAGTGCAGCTTTAAGTAGCTAAAGTTGGGAAAAGTATTTTGTGGTTTGACAGAATCAGATTAAGTATTCCTAGTTTACACCAAAGCTATCGAATGTTTACATTGAGGGGAATATCAAAGGTGAACTCTTGGGGGCACCAGTGCATATCTGATAAATTGCCTCAGGTGAAGTCAATTTGTTTGACCACCTGGCTGGTATAAAATGCTAACAGTAACTGTTGATAGTCTGTTGATGTGGAGTATTGACAATTGACAATTTAGTAATAAATGAAAGAATTGTTGACAGCTTTTGTGGGTAGTACTTCTTCTTTATGGATTATGTCCAGAGTAACAGAGACTCTGATGCAGGGTTTTGCCTTTGTCTAGTTTTTTGTTTGTTTTGTTATTAATTCTGTTATAAACTCTAGTTTCCTGGCTGTGTAACTCCACGCTGCTGTGAGAGCTTGAAAGACAGACTGTCAAACACCAATCAGGCATTGTGCAAATGATTTATTTATAATTGTGTTCTGAGTAAATAAATGAATGTCACACTGGAAAGTGTCGTCTGAGTGAAAGAGGAATGTTGTTTGAACTGTATATATGAGACAAAACTTAACTAATAACCCCAATCTACTATCTATACTTTAACTATCATCCTGGAGTGATATTTCTTTGTTTTAATAACCGCAGTCAGTGATGCTAAGTAACCATCTTTAATCTTTGCTCACGGGCAATCTGGCTAATTACCATAGTCTCAGCAGCAGGTAACCTTGGTTTCCTCTGAGCCTGGGGCTGATTAGCACAAAAGTGCAGCTGCAGGGCCACGGTGCTGTCTGGATGTGTGATTTTATTTTTAGACAGCAGATCATAACCTCTTTTAATTTTTTAGTGTTGATTGGTAACAGCATAATGAAGAATAAAGTTTCACACCAAACTTGGCACCAGAAACTGTTAAAACAACAGGAACCAAACAACTTCAACCACACAATGTGCCACGTGGGAAAGCTAACCTCTCAGCATGCCCTCACACACATGCACATACATACATACACGTACTCAGCAAAACCTTTCTCAGCTCCGTCTTATTGGCGTGCTCTTTACAGGAAATTGTTTCAGATGGATACTAGTAGAACTAACAGAACTCCTCCAGTGCTGTTGTGTTTACTTGTTTTTGAACTCTATGGGAGTAAAACAGGGAGGTTTGATTACCTGTACCTGTGTACCAATTGAATGCTGCTTACTATTAGTACTAATTGTCATGGAAGCTAAAAAAAAAAACTTACTCGATTAATTTTGGCAACTATTTTGCTAACGGATTCATTGTTTCAGTCTTTTTCAAGCAAAAATAAATCCAAATATTTCTGGTTTCAGCTTCTCAAATGTTACATTTGCAGTTTTTCTCTAATATCCATCCGTTACTCGAATATGTTTGTGGTTCATACTGATGGTCGGACAAAACAAGACATCTGTAGATGTCACCTTTGTCTCAAGGAAATGCAATCTTCGCTATTTTAACGAATGAATAACTAAAAATTGAAATATAGAAAAGTAAGTATAGTATAGTGATAGAGTGTTAGTTGCAGCTCTAATAATAAATGTTTTTGCAGTCAGTATACAAAAGAATGCAAATAATAACGATATAATGGTAATAATTAAGGCCAGACAACTGCAACTTTTCGATGCCACAGCAGTTAAACTCCACAAAGATTATAAAATAATAAAAAAAAGGTAATGAGATAATAAAATGTTTATTGAAAGATTTAATGCATTTTTATTTGTTTGTTTTCTAAGATTCTCTTGGAACTTCCCCATCTCTATCTTGTCTGTGGTGCAATAGTGTTCCTCAACATCAGCTTATTTAATATGCATACTGATTGTATTTAATTTTGTCATTTTTCTGATATGAATAAACTAAATACTAAAAAGCTGCTTATTAATATTATGTATCATGGAATTGGGACACATCTATTGAATTGTTATATATGGAGTTAAGTGGTACAGTGTATTTATGGGGCAACATGAGACATGTAGAGATTATACTTCCAATGTCTTAACTCATTTCCACTCTGTTGTTGTTTTTCTGTATTTGTGTACATACGCGTGTGGGTGCACGCACACACATTTGTGATGCATCTGTGCCTGCATGTCAGGGTCTGTCCCCTCTGCAGCTGCATTAATGATGCTGAGAAACATCCATGCTGCTCCAGTGACAGCGGCACCAACATCGTGTCCTGTGTATGTGAGGTGTCCAGCCGGGCCAGCTGCATGACTGATGGTGGTCCCATCGATTGCTCTCAGTCTTCAGGGCTTCCAGCCAAGATTGGGCCCCTGGCCAAGAGCAGCTTGGCCCAGCTAATCTGTCACCAGGCTGGCCAGAGCAGGCTTCATAAGCTCCATCGACCCACGAAGCTTACACGCTGTGTGCTAAAGCCTGTCCTCTCCAGCCCCACTGTCCATTAGTCTTGGTGCTTTAATCTTCCTCTATCTGTGTGTCTGTGTGTCAGCTAGTCAGGGATTGATTCATTATGAGTGTCCAAGGATTTGAGTTTACTTTGTTCAGAGGCAAGGGTCACACTCTGCTATCTGAATGCTTGATTAAGCAGTGATTCATTAGTAGTGAGATTCTTGTTCTCATGTTTATACACTCTGAAACTCAATAACTGTTTGCTGTTCAAGAGAGCAGGGAGAGAAAACAGGCTTCATTTATCCTGAATAATGGTGATATCATGAGATTTGTTGTTTTAATACGTGCCTTTACCTCTGTGTGCAGCACTTTGTCTGAGGACGGGCCAGAGATCTTTTTGAGCCCTGCAGTCACGTATGGACCACCAGGCCTTGACCTGTCCTGTCCCATAGCCTTGACCATAGCCCACTGTGGTGAGGTTGATGCTGGCAACTGGACCATTCGACTAAAGAGACAAATGCAGGACAACAAGTGGGAGGTGAGCAGTTTCTCAAACATGTACAAAACACACAAATTTCACCAGCACGATCTGTCAATACGATCTGAGTTACTTTGATGAAATTTTTTTTATCCTGCAGTGGAGTCATGCGAGCATGGAGCCGATTTCAGGGTTGCCAGCTCAGATTCATCATTCTGCATAAAGTTCAGCCTTTCCAGCTCTACCTCATGCTGTCACACGTCCAAAAGAAATGTCAGACCAGATGCAAATGACGGCTATTAGTCATTGAAACTTTCACTTCTTTCACAGTAAATGATAGTGGTATTTTTAAAGTATTATGAGCAATTCAGAATCTGTGAATTCTGAATAGACGCTGTTCAGAAAATTTGAACAGAACAAGTGAAATTTACATAAAGAGGAGAAACATCTATACACACTGCAGATGTTGCTGTATGCTTGTTTGTTTTTGTTTATATGGCAAACTGTATCTGAAATGTTAAAATGGTTTACAATGAAAAGTAACTATTATGGTTCCATTGTGATTGAGCGCGGTAGAATTTTGTTGACAGGTCTAGAGTCTAGAACTGCTCTATATGAAAAGTGCCCTGAGATAATTTCTGTTATGATTCTGCACTATATGAATGACATTGAATTGAATAGATATAAGTTTAATAAGTGATATTTGAAATTTCAGTGGCCTATGAATGATCTCTCTTTTGAAAGTAATTATCAAACAGGGACAAAAAGTATGACTGTCAGAGGAATGAATATTTAAGCTTTGAATCTGGGTTTATGTGAATCTCAGAAAATACTATACACCAAATAGATTGAGCTATTTCAACATTATTATTTTCATCTTTATCAGAAAACCTATTTTATTTTATTTTTTTGTTTTTAGCTTTTTTGAAAATGAAATTTGCAGACACATACAGTTCAATAAAAACTGCTAAAAGCTTAAAAGAGCAATATGCAAGAATTTGCAGCATATTACCATAAAGTTGAGGTGTCCACCCCTAGAGTAAGAAATAAGGAAATGCACTCTTTGGTCTTTCCTCCATCCTCCTCTTACATTGGCCATCAGGCATACCAGCACAAATCCTGGTGGGCTGCCACATTGGTGGGTGTGTACCTGTCATTCGGGGTGCGCATGAGAGCATGCTGGGCTCACTGGCCACTCACAACCAAGTTTCAACCCCCACCCTCACGTTGAGCCAGCGTTAGCTTGAATAGGGCAGCTGTTGAAATGTTGCCAAATCTGCACGGATTAGTGAATAATGTTTTCCACACAGGTTTACATTGAAATCTGATAATTTAACATATTGTTTTTTGATTTCACTCCCGGTCTGCCCAGAGACAGGGAAGGTAAAGTGGTGGCAGGAGCAGAGGACGAAACACAAAAGGTTGAGATACATGAGGGAGAGGGAGAGCAGCCAGAGCAGCTGCATCGATAGCTGAGCTTGAGGAAAGAGTGGAGGAATGTTGCCAAGAGAGGACTGCTGCAACACAGGTTTATAGCCTCGTCACTGTTACCACTTTTTCATCCTCTCGTCAGACTGAGGACAGACCGGACGCTACAGTGGTTCACTATCACCTCTTGAGGTGCAGACCGATATTACGAGACAGGAGGGGCAGGGCTAGCTGGTTAGCATGTTAATTTCTGCAGATATCCCTACAACACAATACATAGATATCTTTGACATAAAATCAAGAGTTTTATTTCAACACATTCTGTTGATAATCGTAGATAATATTTGAATATTTTAAACGAAAATACTTCTGCCTACTCCAGTCTGAAAACTCTGTGTGAGGTCAAAAATAGATAAAGAAAACTGTCAAGTGTGCTTTTTAAAAGATTTAATACTTATTCCTCTAAATGCATTATAGTGCTATCTCTGTGATTGCTGCCTTTTTCTCACATCCAGCTCTTTCAGTAAAATAACACGTCTGAAAAGTCCTTCAACTCTGCCCTGTAGAGCTACTTCACAGTCTCACAGAGGACTTGTTCAGACATCCGCCTTGAATCCAAACACCCTCTATCCATTTTCTTGTGCCTTCTCGGCAGAGTAGACATATCTAAGATGCTCTTTTAATGTTTAACTAACCTCATCAAAAAGCTGAGGGGACCTCTTCACGACAGAGTGACCCCCGTGCCACCATCTGCGCGTGACCTGGGAAGGCCTGTGGCTCTCTTCCAGCCTGGTCCTTTCACTCTGTGTGACATTTACACAGATGTAATTTGCCAGCAGACGTGTTGCACAAAAGGGAGCTATCAAAAGACTCATCACTGATGGGAGCTATATGCCGTCGGAAAGGAGAGAATAGCGGAGGGAGTCATCGGAGAAGGAAGAGATAGACAGAAAGATACAGACGGGTTCGGGGAAAAGAAGAAGGGATGTTCTCCAAGAAAATACAAAGGTGTGACCTGTCTCTGTCACTGTGAAATAATGAGCCCTTTATCTCAGGAAGGATGCTTACTCAAACCCTAATCTCTGGAATTAGTGATATAATGGGAAATGGAGGTCTCTCTCCCCCGTCTGCCTTCCTCTTTCTGTCTTTCTCCCCTCTTCTCTCTCTCTGCCTCTCAGTGCCATTCCCATTAAAGCTTGCACTTTTGTACTGCTAGAGTTTGACTCCATCATTTCTCCCCGGCTGCCTGGCGGGGATGAGCTATGTCATGGAGATCCTTCATGTCTGCTGCAGCACTAATGGGGCGGGTGTTTGGAAGCTGTGGTCCACTAAATTACCCTGCGTTGCTTTATATTCATTCAAGCAGGCCATATGCAGAGGGGACCTGTGGGTCACAGTTAAAGGTGATTTAGGGAGGATTGAGCGCGAGATGAGGAGCAATTGGCCATTGGATCCAACTGCAACCTGCTAATCCATTTTGTCAGTGTTACTGTATCCCCATCTGTTTAGTGAGATGTGTCATTATTCATTTAGCCCTTGCTCAGTTTGCTCAGTTCCTGATCCTATGTGAGTCTGTGTATGAGGGAAAATTTTCAATTTACTGTCTGTGAAGTGTCTAAATAACATCCCTAACAACAATACAGTCACTTGTAAAAATTTAAATGCCGGATCCATGGCTCTCTGCCGGATCCATGGCTCTATTTTGCAGTCACGGCTCATTACTTGACTGCAAAATATTATTATTGTCTGTTTTTGTACAGGTAATAATAGACACAATTATAAATCTTGCCTGATCAATCAAATGTGCAAAGTGGTGCATTACTTACATATCACAGGCATGAATGTTCATCTTTCAGTTTGATGGTTAAATTAAAGCCTCTTCCTCCCTCTGCAAGCACATTCTTGGCTGTAATTGAAATGTTAATAATCATGAATCAGCAGGCTTAGCTCCACTGTGTATAACTGGGTGCTGAATCCTCAAAAATCAGAGCTCAAAAAATCATCTGCAAGACAGCATCCCAGTATTGAACTGTCATGATTAACCCTGAGATGAACTGCTATGGGCTCAAGAGCATCTGTTTAATGCACCAGAACTGAATCTGGTCTCTCCTGATGTATCCCTGCCCCAACAGGAAGTGATGTCCGTGGACGAGGAGAGCGCATCCTGCTACTGTCTGCTGGAGGCCCAGAGGTGCCACGTGTTGTTGGAGCACCCGGGTCGCTACGCCCTGGTGGGGGAACCGCTGAACCAGGAGGTGGCCAAGCGGCTGAGGCTGGCTGTGTTTGGTAGTCCGGACACTAGCAACTCTCTGGGCTTCACCCTCAGGGTTTACTGTGTGGACGACACACCCCATGCGTTTCAGGTATGAGGGAAAAGGGAGGATATAGAGGGAAGCGATGAAGAATCAGGAATGATTCAGTGTAAAGAGAGAAAGAAAAACATTGTTTTTATTTTACTGCATCCTTTTTAAATGAGGGGTCGTACAGGATGATTTTCTTTTATTCACCCTGCCCATAAAACCACACCCACAAAGTTCCACATTAAAGAAGCTATTTGTAAGTTCTGCTAATGCTACATAGCTAGCATTAGCATTAACAGCTGTTTATTTACCAGTCTAGAAGAAACGTGAGTTCAGCCTCAAACTTCATTCCTTTACTCACCAACAGCTGTCTCCAGCGATAGAAAGAAACACTAATGTTAACTCTTGTCTCTATCACGTCTTTTCTTCTACTGAAGTTAGCACGCTAACCAGCTAGCCACGGCCCATCTCGTCATCTTCCGATAGCGACTCACTGCAGCATTCAATCTGCGCTGAAGATGTAGCGCTGCTCAGAGGGCGTATTATAAACGCAACAATAGCCAAAGCTCATACCAAGCGACAATCACCAGCACCCGCTCCCGGCAAGAAACTACATTCAGCGGCAGAATAAACTTGAAAATAGCTAAGGGGCTACAGCCATGTGAGCAGCCGTGCTCTGAGCTAACTGCTAACATCAGCATGCTAACATGCTCACATTGACAGTGCTGTCATGCTGGTGTTCCATGGGTAATATTTACTTTTGTGACCATTGTACAGTTTACATTGTTAGCATGCTAATATATGCAATTAGCACTAAACCCAAAGTACAGCTAAGGCTGCGTGGAATGTCATTTTTGCAGGTATTTTGTACAGAGGATCCCGAAAAGTCAGAAGGATATATTTTCAGGGAACCATCAATGTCTGTACAAATATGCATGGCAGTCCTTGTAATACTTGTTGACATTTTTCAGTCTGGAACAAACGACATTGTCTTCCATACAGCCACGTTGCTAATGTGGCTTAAAATATGAATATTTCCAACAGAATTCTAATATATAATGTGCGATTAGTATTTTATATAAGAGATGTTAATTGTAGTGTTTGGTCTGGCTGGTGGTTTCGCCTGGAAGAACTGCTGCCTGAGTTTTTTTTTTTTTTTGCGCTCCACTGAAGATCTGCCTGTTCAGTAACATCGCCACTGGGAGCTGCCTGATGACTTGGAGACAAAGAGGGACTTTTAATTACAAAGACAACAGATGCTCTAAGGTTGCTTCTCTGCCCTTTCTCTGCGTAATTTAATTTGCTCTCTGTTAATTAAGCACATCTCCGCATTGCATTCCATGCGACAAGTATCTGAACACATTGAAATGAGAAACATTCTCAGATCCAACCCCAGTTCGTCGTCATGCTCCTCAGTGGTGCTTTGTGAAACGTTTACCCTTCTCCTCCTCCTCCTCTTCCTTGCGGTTTGGGCACACTCAAAAAAACACATATATACCTCTTTTTGTTTCAAGCTCCAGCAGCCAAAAAATACTTTTTGCAAGAGTAATTTGTTTCCTTTCTTAATTAGAATTACACAAACAGCTTTTACTGAATTAGCGCTGTTAGTTGTCCCATAAAGCCATAGTCCTGCTTCACTTGTGGCTCCATTCAAGAGGTAGAATTGCATGTGAACAAAGAGAAATTGGATGTAGGTGCCAAGAGCCAATTCACTTCACCTCTCCATCAGTCAGGCATGGTTATTTGTTCATTTGTTCTTTTTTTGTTGGCTTTTGTTTGTGCTTCATACGACAATTAATTTCCCCTGTGAGCTTGAAGCAGGAATCGATCAGGTTCAAGGCAGCCTGTATGCTTTGCATTTCCCTTCTCTCTGTGCTGTGTGACTGAGAGGATAAGCACCATGCATACAGGACTCACACCCCCTCCTCCGCCTTGCATCCCCATGATGCAGAGGATGTAAACACAAACATGCAAGTACACGTTTACACATGTTGTTCTTCTCCAATGACCTGGAAAAATTATAATATCATGAGGCAGGAGGCCAAAAACTGCAATACTGACAAAAGACTGGTGTTCTCTGTTTATGTCTTCTCTTTGTGTGCGAGCAGTGTTCCTGACGAGCAATTTTTTTTTTTTTTACCGCTCTCTTTATCTTATTTTGAGGCTCTAGCAGTGTTGGTTTGTCACTCATGCAATTTGTCCTTTGATCCATTTTATGGCTGGTTACCTGTTGTCAGAAACAGTGGCTCTGGGGGGCCGCTATTGAGCAATTCAATTTTTAGAGCCCAATCACTCTGGGTGCGTTTTGAAAGCACAGTGCACCACTCTTTTATTTTTGTTTAGAGTTTTATTTGTTTTTACATCATGGTCACAGCAGCAGATAAAAATGGAGGCTTCCAGGGTGCACAAGCAGCGCACACGTCACTTAAAACCCAAGAAAATCTTCACTAAAAGCATATTGTGTGTATTTTTGTTCAATGTAATACAGGCACACATTTCTGAAGCTGGTTTTGGGGAAATGGTTCTCTTGAATGTTTGGGGAAATGGAAGTTTACAGCCACTGTATTTTCAATATTAGGGTTCAACTAATTGTTATTTTCTTTATCACATAATCAGCCAATTATTTTTTCAATAAAACGTCAGAAAATCAGACATCCCAACGATGTCCTCGGAGGCTCAGCTTTATTCCTTTTCTCGCCGAGCGCTGTCTTCAGTGGTGGAAACCAACGCCAATGTTAACTCTTTTTTCTATCGCGTAAAGTTAGCTCGCTAACCAGCTAGCCCGTCTCGTCACTTTCTGATACTGAGTCACCGCGGCCTCCAATCTGCCCTGAAGATGTAGCGCTGCTCAGAGGGCGTATTACAACCGCCCATCTTGTAAAACGTAACAATGGCTGAAGCTCTTGTCAAACGACAATCACCGCCAACTGCAAGAAAACTTACAAATAGCCCCTTTAAGCAACTAATGATTGTCAGCTCTTTTCAATTTTTCTTTTTTTTTGTTTAATTAAACTCTTCACCCTCGATAAATCATTACAATGGGAATCAAAGTTGTCTGTGTTTTCTGTTTATTATAAATTTTTGATGAATTATCAGTCAACAGAAACGTTCTGTTGTACATGAAATGCTGTGTGCTGAGAGTCCCAGCTTGGTACAGTGAGTGTTTCAACCATATAAAATATCTACCTTTTTCTTCTACTTCCCTAACCCCCACCCCACCTCCTGAAATACAACCCATACCTTTCCTTATCAGGAGGTGGCAGTGGGCGAGCGCAGCAGGGGTGGGCGGCTGCTGGAGGAGCCTAAAGTGATGCTGTTCAGGGGGAACACTTTCAGCCTCCAGGTGTCCATCCAGGACGTCCCACAGTTACTCTGGAGCATCAAGCCTTTCACCACCTGCCAGGTAGGCAGTCTCTAACTGTGAGTCAGCCTCATTTGGAGCAAAGGAATGTAAAGCGGCGGGCAGGTTTACAGCATGTGCATCTCGGCTCTAATTTAAAGCGAGCAGTGCTTTGTCAGGGTCACAGATCGGGAAAGAAGCTGGGACCTTCATCTTCCCAGCCTCCTCTGTTCCTCCGTCAGAACTCTCTCCTCCACCAGTTTCCCTGCTTCTCACATGGTCACATCAAAGCCAAAGGACAGCAGCAAGGGCACAGCACGATATCACTAAGACTAGCTATCTCACCCACACACATACACACACACACACACACACACACACACTCACACACACACACACTTACAAAATTAATTATGACTGCCAGGCAGGAACACACACGCACGCACATCACATAGTTATCTTCCTAGGGGTCTATATGCTGCATGTTCTGCTCTGCCCTGTGATGTTTATCCCACCAGTGACATCCTATTAGCAGAATTAGCCCACCATAGTGCCTCCAGAATACCAACAAGGTTTACTTGGAGAGGGAAGAGCCACTATGTGAGGGTCCAACAGTGAAGATGACTATAGGCTTTCATTCAGACACTACTCTTGCCTGAAGGAGGCTTTTACAAGTAGCCATCCTCCTGTCTGATGGATCTGAAGAGAGGATGATTCATCTGTAAAACAGTGTTTTTGACCTGCTCTCACTGCGCCACTGTCTGGGTCAGACTGTAGTTAGTAATGGGAGTCAAAATTGGCCTTTTAGATTCCATCGGCTCCGGAGCTCTGTTACTTTTGGATTTTCCAGCTATCACATTTGGGGGGAAATGCAGTGCAAACAGAGTAAGTTAAGGCATCTCTGTCCTAATTCCATAATCACATATGGTTCCTGATCTAATACTCTCGTATTTACAAGCTTTATATTCTCAGAATTTAGAAAAGAAGACAAAAAGTCAATAATGTGGTAAATATGGCCTGAATTTAATTCTGTGGGCTCTATTTCTATTAAAAAAAAATCTTCAGACGATGATTTTCTGTCATGACAGACTCTTTCTGCTAATAATGTGGGCTTGGGTCTGTGATATTCATGGAACTAATGACTGCATGAAGACTAGCCACACTGTAGGGTGTAAAGTGAAAGAACTGTAAAGTAACTTAATTAATTTTTCCCAAGCAGCAATGAGTAAAATACCGTGGAATTTATTAAATATTTGCACAAACGACTGCGGCTCTTTCAGATGGTTAGCAGGCTGCATGTTCGTCCCCCGGGGGCTCAAATGACTGGTGGTGCTCTTTCTGACGGGTAAACTGCTTGATTAGCTAGCATCAATGATCGGCTAAAGAGGCCACTCATTCAGTCTTAATTAATCATGTAAACAGCAAAGTGGGTGGCAAAGCAGGATTCAAATAACGAATGTCTTTAGCTGGGGGTTTAATGAGTTTGTTGTCTCCCCTGCCTAATGCCTCCATCGTTCTCCCTGTCCGCCCTCCGCCGTCTCCTCCTCGCCCTGCAGGAGTTCTCCTTTTCTCAGGTGTGGGCCAGTAACCAGCGTCCCCTGCAGTGTGCCTTCTCTCTGGAGCGGTACAGCCACTCCTCGTCCCAGCTGTCCTGCAAGATCAGCGTACGACAGGTCAAAGGCGAGGAGCAGATACTCCAGGTCTACACGTCTGTGGTGGAGGTGAGCGGCGCTCGTAGACGAGGCGGTGTGTGGGCAGTCATGCGCCGTGCTAATAGGTTCTTTTATTAGACTGAATAACTCTTGATTTGATTTAAGAGCTTGCTTAATGAGCCTCTCAGGGAGCTTTTCATGTATGGATTGCAAATTGTCTCGATAAGTCCCCCGTCCTTGTCTTCATATTGAAGATTATAAGCTGCACTATCAGTTTCACGCTGACACCTCGCTCTTTCTTTCCTGTTACCAGAATGAGAAGGGAGTGGTTCCCTTTTTCACTCAGTCGGACTGTACCATCACCTCTCAGACAGGGTCACGGGCCTTTAAAATCCCGCTGTCTATCCGTCAGCGGATCAGCGCCACCTTTGACACGGCTAATGCCAAGGGGAAGGATTGGCAGCTCCTGGCTCAAAAGCTCCACATAGACAGGTATGAATTATAGCACTCTCATTCTTCACTTACCATTTGCCAGTTGCTGAGTCATTTGTGCGTTACGCAAGCTGCAGTCACATGAATCAGCTGGTATGTTCTGTTTAGGTGTTCATACAGAATGGTTTAATAATGACTGAAAAGCTGCATATTCTGCCCTCTCCACTATGTAAACACTGTTCCCACTTTGAATACTATTTTTATATCTGGAATTTAGGCACCGTGTCAGCCCTAATCTCCCATCACCAACCAGCCTTCAGTAACACGCCACACTGCTGATTTCATTATAGATCTAGAAACACATGCACACAGACAGACAGACAGCCAGAGAGAGAGAGAGAGAGAGAGAGAGAGAGATGTAACTTTAGCGCAGTCAGAATAACTGGAGAGAAGAGGCCGTGTTTTGCAGAAATCTGAAGGAAGGTCTCAGACTGCTGACAGGCCAGCCTCTGGCAAGAAAATGTGTTCATGTTAGCACTCCTCATTAGCAGCACGTCTTCATGTGCTGCGTCCTCCAGCTCCTGCTAAACTCTCCAGAGGTTGTGCCAGGTCAGTATTTGCGTAGGCTGTGTGAGGATTTTCACTTGTTTGGTGATGCGGTGATCTCTGCGTGCGCCTCGGAGAGAGAAGTGCTTATAGCCACAAAGACTCCTCTCTGTCTTGCCAGTTGGAGAAACATGAGAGGGAAAAGTTGACTAAGAAACTGAGACAGAAACTATGTGATTAAGGAATTTCACTTAAAACGGGTCTGAAAACAACCAAAAAAAATCTGTGACCGAGGAATGGGAAAGGATTTCAGAGCTTTTTCAGCCCAGTCGAACACACCGAGAAGCATGTAATGGGAATGTCTCTACCTAGTTAAGCTGATTTTGGTAATTATTTCTCTGAATGTGTGGGAACGTTATCACACTGAGGAGGGAAAGTGGGATGTGGAGGAAAAGCGGGGAGAAGGCCACAAAGGAAATCCCATTGTGATGAAACAGTGCACCCTGTTGGAGAGGTGTTATAACAACAGCAGAAGTGTAAATGAAGTCTGGCCTGCAGCGTGCGTTTTCTCACACAATAAACCACATGAGTTCACAGCACAAACTGTAACTAAATTTTACTGTATTGCTATTATTGTCAGCCTTGGGACAAACTAAGTTAATTAATCTGTGCTGATGATTAATGACTGATTAATCATGAGATTTCTTCTTTTTTTATTGGAAAGATATTTTCCAATTAAAATACAATCTTTGCTCCGTTCCACCTCTGCATGAGTTAAAACATTTTTATTAACGTCCTCCTCCACTCAGAAACGTCTTTTGCTTATTGCTTCTTCACTTGACTGTTTAACCTTCACCTTATATTGAAGTTTAAGCTGTGCTCATACAATCAGCATTTTCTGAATCACAAGTTCTTTTGGACGCCAGTTAATCTCCAATATGCAACTGATACAAGTGTGAAATCTCCAGAGCAGAGAAAGTGGAGGTTTCATTGAAGTGAAAAATATTTGCATATTCAATGAGGGAGAAGAAGTAGATGTTTTTGTTTTTTTTGTTTTTACAGTTTTTAAATAGTTAATAGAATTTTTGTTATTCAAAGAGCAGATTTACATGTCTGGTGGGAATCCTTTTTTATTTTATTTATTTATTTGTTTTGATTATAAAAAACAAGAAAGCTGGAAATTCACTTTTTCCAAAAAGGTAATGAGAAAATGGCAGCAACCACTACACTGAGTTTAGTAGTTGTCACGAGGAGACGGCCACTCCTCAGCCGAAGAAAACCATGACGCAGTGTCTCCTGTTGCTCTTCTGCCTGAGGAAATAACCCTGGTGATGTCATAGTGATGTCATCTTAAGAGGTTGGGACTTACAAACCAAACTGCAGGTGTTGGGCGGTTGAAAGAAATTAGCATTTGGAAGACAGGGAAGGTCTAAGCATGCTGAAAGCTGCTGTCCAGTTGCATGATGGGAAATGTAGGATGCGGTGTTTTTAGAGCTTTACCTTCACTAAAGACGTTTGAACGTGTCTCTTGTGAAGTTTCATCATAAACTGTGATAAACAATCACTTCATTGCTGAACTGCTCATTTGTTCTCTTCAGTTACAGCTACTTGTCACGTGATCTACTTCAATATAATATTCAAATGTCTCTCGCCTGTAGGAACCTGTGCTACTTTGCATGTCAGGAGAGCCCTTCATCAGTGATTCTGAGTCTTTGGGAAGCCCAGCACCAGGACTCGGGGGACCTGGACTCTCTGGCCAGTGCCCTAGAGGAAATTGGCAAAGTTCAGTCCCCCACGACCACCACACATGGCTGCAGCAGAGAAGAGCAGGACTCTGAATTCACTCAACTTGGGTAAGGCAGGTGCACAGCAGATCAAATCATGATGAACCTTTACTGCATGAACACTGATGACCAGGTGTACTATCTGCTAACCTATGGTGAAAAGGAGGAGGAGGAGGAGGAGGTGCAAAGGGGGCAGCAGGGAAACCCTGTTTTGGACTGTTACTAAAGGAACATCTCTGCTAAACCTCTCTCTGCTAGATGGCACACACACAGACACACGGGAATCATGAAACAGCTGCGAGAAAGCGTTTGTGTACCAACAAAAACATTTTGGAAAGGGGTGGAAATATCCCACACCCATATTTGATTGAAACATGTCAACTCCTTGTCGCTTCAGAGGACAGATTTGATAACCTGCATTCAAGGATTATGGGTAACCATGTGAGGAGGACTCTCCGTGTGGGAAGTGTGTTTTAGACAAACTGCCAATCAGGCTGGTGGTGTGACCTTCCCAGGATCGGATGGGCTGGCACTTGCCGTCAAACAGTCTTCTGGGCTGTCAAAATCTTTGGTGTAACGTCATTATGTTGTCATTCATTTCCTATATCTCCCAATGCTTCTTTTTCTTTTCTGCACCGTGTCTCCACTGTTACTGCTGGAGGTAGAAAAAAAAACCAAAAAAAAAAAAAACCAGAAAGCAAAGAATATTGGATGTTAATGTTGTCAGAACATCTTAGCGTGGGGTCAGAGACACTGACAGTGATTGTCCCCACGGATTAGCATTTAAAAGGATCTGATGATGTCCACGTGCTAATTAAACAAACATAAGAACGTTCAAGAAATGACTTTTGTAAAGGCTCTTACAGTGACGTGCATCACATAGATAACAGTCATTTTAACAAACGCCCTCATGCACAAACACTTTCAACCCCATCAGCAGAACATGCTGTTAAAGCCAAGGCTGCAGAGGAGAATAACTTACCCAGCTGATCTGTGCTGCATCTGGCGATGCAGCCAGAGGTGCACCGCATTCCCTAATGTCTATTAATCAACTTCTGGTTGTTTTGGAGGAAAATTAATTAATCAATCAATTTAATTAATTAATTTTCCTCGATTTTTGATTATAAATTGTGACTTTTGATGTGTGGCTTCGCTGGAGCTGTCTTTTTTTTTTTTTTTTTTTTTTTTTTTTTTTTTGGATCACAGCTCGGAGCAAATACTCGGACATCATTATCTGCAGACACTCTGTTCAAGTAAGAGGCTGGTTCTGCCTGTTAGAGGACAGACGAGAGGGAGTGAGAGTTGAAGAAATCCTGATCAGGAAGATCCCCACGTTCAGTTGCTCCACCCGCCCCTAAACTTAATAAAGTGACTTTGTGTTGACCTCTGTGTTGGCTCTCTCTTTTTATTTACTTAATTAATTTAATTGTTGAAAGCTAGTTACAGTAAAACTGTATTCAGCAAAGAGATGAAACAGAGACCCATACAAAGTCCAATGTAAGGCTGCCCCCACCCAAAGATTTTGCTACAGTCGACTGGTAGTCGTTACTTCAAGACATTAGTCGACTAGTCGTTGCACATTTATGATGTTAATTTGATTATTTAAATGTATATTTTTGGGGGGCATCAGAAAAAGGTTTGGGGATGATAGTATGGGATAATAGTAATAAAGTAGATTTAGTAAGATAATCATATTGTATTTTATGCTGCCACTAAACAGCAGTTCAGAGTTTTATATGTCACATGCCAAGGCACAGTGTACAGCAAGCAAACCTGTGAAATGAGGGTCGGACTCTGCAGCAAAGCATGACTGCAAAAAAAAAAATGAAATATTTCACATTCGGCGGGAAATATTGCGACATTCAATATTATCGAATATCGAATATCATCCCAAGCCTAATTCTGAATGTGTCGGAAGAAGCAGCGCGGAGTCTGAACAGTTTGTTGATGTGTTTCAAAACGTCACATAACTTATGAATTTATAGATTTATATTTGTGCAGAAATGCAGAAAAGTGCAGTAAACGAGGTAATTCAGTTTCGCCAGTTCCCACGAACACTTGGATACCATATTTATCTCGGCTATCTAATGTTAGAGCAAGCGGCCGTGCTAAGTGGCTAATATTAGGCTACTTACGTGTTTCAAATGATAAGCCATGTTTGAGGTTAACGAATGATAGGTCAATGCAGAGTTTGCGTGTCACCTTCCTGGAGTCGTCCTTCACCCTCTTGAAATGATCCCACACTTTGGATTTCAGATGGATTTACTGTGTAATCACCACGGGGACCAGCCGTGTCGACTAAGACTCTTCTCGTCGACTAATGATGTTTGGTCGACTATTAGCGGGCAGTCTCAGTCCAGTTTTCACAAAGATGTCACTGAGCTCTGTAAACACTCTTCAGGTCTTAGATGGCAGCTACATGTAGCTGTTGCTTCACTGAAAAAAAGACTGAGGTAGATCCTTGTTAAAACTCCTCTTACATAAGACTGAGAAGAGTTGTGTCACAGAGGCTTCTCTCCAATCTTCCTGAGAGTCTGTTGGTTCAAGCTCTTAAAATCGGATTCGACTGGAGATCCCAGGCCAGATGAAACAATGCTGCTGTCATTCCTTTTACAATGTACTTAACGGCATATTTCGACATTTTGGGAACAAGCTATGTGATTTCTTGCCAAGAGTCAGATGAGGAGATTGATACGACTCTTATAACTACAGTAAATATGAAGCAACAGCGACAGCTTCTCTCATCTAACTCTCAGCGGTAATGCAAATACCAGTAAGCCAGTTTCCCAAAATGTCCAACTGTTCATTTAATTGACAAGGACTCCCGGTTTCATCTTCAAGCTGCCAAAGAAGGATGCAGATTCGAGTGTGCTCATGCTGGCTCTGCAGTGGGTAAACCAAATTCCTGTTGATTTGTGTATTCATGGAAATATCCTGAGCTATCCAACCACAGAGATATGCATTTCACTGGATAGTTGGAGTTCCTGGAAATACGTTTCCAGTGAAGCGTGACCGCCAAATAATCAAGCTGGAAATAATGCAGAGCTGTACTCTATCGGCGAGCTTTGTCATTCTATCTATACGGATCAAAGAACGGCACGAACACGGGCAGACCCCGAATCTGTAAAGGAGGGACTGATTCTCCACTATCAGCTGAAAAGGTCACCGTGTAAAAAGGTTGGAACGCTTGGAATACATCTTCACCTGGAAGATACTGACTCACATGGAAGCCTCTCTCCAGCTCTCACATGCTGAGTTAAACCACTTATACAGATGGCCGCGATGGGACAGCAGCAACTAAACCTTAACTAAGCAAAACAGATCTGGCAGCACGGGGAAATCTCTTCTCCATATTTTTTGTTTAAAAGTATATTAACTCTTCATCAGTCTTTCAATTATTTTCTCATTTAAACACTTGGTTTGCTCCATAAAATGTCAGAAAATAGCAAGATAGCAAATTCAACAATTCAAAACCCAAAGATAGCTAGTTTAATATCAGAGAGGAAGAGAAAAACCAACAAATATTCACACCAAGACGCTGGTACCAGTGAATATATTTTGCATTTTTGCTTAATCAATCAACTAATCATTACAGCTCTTATAATCCGACCTTTTATTTTACTTTTACACTCATCCTGACTGCAGGAAATCTTAAAGTAATCTGCTGTAGCCTAACCTCTTGATGCTAACTGTGCCCATCATTAGCATTCCTGCTAAACAAGCAGTTTCAAGGCAACTAACTAGATGAGCAATGAAATGAATATCAGGACAGATCAATTGTAATGTTAGTGATTCAAATTCACAGGGAAATCTGGGTTTTGTTCTGTTACATGAAATAGTCTGATGCCAGACTAGTCTTCATTGTTACCTGCATCCAAAAATGCATATATATATATATATATATATACTTGCTTCTTCCACTTGGCATCAGCAGCGACTTTCCAGAAACACATGGACAAGAATTTCCAGCTAACTTTTTGCACGCTGACCCCTGTGGATGAGTGTCTCCCATAGTTTCACCTGGAAGAGCAATCTTACCTGCTCTAAGTCTGGTACGAGGGAGCAGCTAATGGTGCCAAACGTTGCTTCTCGAGGAGAAAAAGATTATTACTGTAGCTGCTTTCAAAAGAGGGAAAAAAAACCATCACAGTCAAAGTATTTCTACAGTTTTCTGAGCTATTATCCACAACATATCCCACTGATGTATTATCACTCCACTCAAAATTATGACTCGGTGTCGCTGCTGAAGCACAGAATATGTCCTGCATCCTCCACGAAGCCCTTTGTGCTAAATCTTTTCTGGTAACCTCAGATTTCATCCAAATTTTTTAGTGTATTTACAGGTGTATCTGAGCTTGGGGATGGGATCAGTAAGGTCTCCTTGTATCATAAGACACTCCAGCTACAGAGACCATTTGGAGGCAGGTGCCAGGGTACAAGAGGGGACACAAACCTGTGTATCTAAAGGCATTTCTCCTGAATTAAATAAGAAACAACGCCAAAGACGTGACCTCTCTTGAGGAGGACACTCAGACAGGTGGTCAGGCGCTGTTCCTCCATCCTGCTCATTACAGGAAAATATCAAAACCCGTTCAACAACTATGAAAAACTGAAGTTATTCTGGTAGACAAACAGTTTGAAAAAAAGGAAATTTGTCCTGACAACCGCCCCGTCGAGTGTCTTAACCAGGATCCGAAAGCTGCAGAAGATGGATGAAAGCTGATGGTCCACTGAGAAACCAAATTACCAGTCGCATTCAAAGAACTGGACTCTGAGACTCGATGGAAACGTCGTCCCGTAGAGAACAGTTATAGCCGAGGCGTTATGGCACCACATCGCTCCAGACCACCGCCATCACGCCAGTGGACAGCAGCCATTTTTTTTTTCCCACGTCACAGTGGAAAGTACTTGATAAAAGTTTTTACTTTTGTCATCTTCTCTGCACATCAGTGTTACACCACATTCCCTAATTTTTAATGATTTCCAGCAGCCACACCTTGCTATGCAGATCTATAACGAACAGCGGCGACGTTTTCGATTTATGCCACCTCATAAAAGATTTTATAGGCGCTGTTGGAGCTGAAGATTTTCTTTCTGGAAATCTTCTTACGTTTACTGAACTTCATACCTTTTTTATTTTTTATTTTTCAAATATAGAATTTTTTTCATCTTTGCTGTTTCAAGCCTCCGCCCTCTCTTTCTCACACACACACACACACACACACACACACACACATAGACATACTGTATATACATACACATGCAAAATTTAAAGAGAAACTGATACGTTTTTTTTGTTTATAGTTACGTTTATGTGTTGTGCATCACACAAAAAACAAAAAATCACACAATTTTCTAACTAATCGTGCCTCTCTATGTGGGTTTAGCGTCATGAGAGAGTCTGAGCAGAATGTTATTTTTATTATGCACCATATCAAAGAAACTAGTATGTTATATGCAAAGCTGTATCGTCCATTGCCATGCACGGTGCCCACCTTGTACACACTGCAGAGGTGTTTCCTAAGAATACTGAAGCATTTAAACCTGTTATCTCCGATGCCAGGGACTTACTGCGATAATGAGCTGACTAAAAGTGATGTGACCATCTGTCACCTGAGGACGTTCAGTGTGTCCGTCAGCGTCCTTTACATAAACTCAATGACTCAGTGAGTGTGTGTGTGTGTGTGTGTGAGTGAGTGAGTGTGTGAGTGAAGGAAAGTTCTGTGTAACTTTTAAAAAGCTGTATTACACGTCCTTGGAAAATCCAGCCTACAGTAGTGCTACTATTTCAGCTTCTTCAGATGTGTGATGTAATGTGTTTTCCTCACAACGCTACTATCTTAAGATCTGCATTGCTTCGGAGAAAATAGAAAACAATGCTAGCTTAAGTAAAATGATATCATTTCATCAAACGTGGTGAAAGTTTCATTTCAAACTTTTACTATTACTTTAGTTCTTAGTTGCTGTTTTTACTTCTACTGCTTTTCTTTCCAGGAAGAAAAAACTACTGCCTTTTACATCTTATTCCCAGATGATTCTATTTATCAAACGAAACTGCTGGAAGTGCTCAAAAATTATTATTTTACTCTTCAAATGATTAACTATGATGTGTAACGCATTTATGTATGTTTGATTTGAAACATCTCTGTGCTCAACATTTGATGGAAGTGCTCTATGAATGTTTATG